CTAGTGGTCATCAAAATGGAGAAATCAAATAAACATATATATATATATATATATTTTAATTCTCTCAATCAATCAAACCACAATAATAAATTTTTTTGATTAATAATCTCTACATTAACAATCTCATCCAATTTAACTCTAAAAACAAACCCCTCTAAGCCTTTGTTTAGCATGCCAGACTTTTTGGTTATTTTAGAGACAAAAAGATAAAATAGGTTTTTTAACCTAATAAGACCAAACATTATATTCAAATCATAATCATTTTATTTTTTCTCTCACAAAAATCAAAAAAAAATTTATCCCAAACGAAACTTTTTAATCCCAAATTAAAATAACCAAAAAAAAAAAAACTAAAAAACCAATACTAAAAACAAATACCCCTCCACAGTCCAAATTTTAATGCACGACGCTGATTCTATAACTTTGGATTGAGGTGGGGTGGGCGTACCCACATCCCAAACCAACCCTTCGTTATCTTCTCACTAGAAACAAATATGGCCCACGGTCCAAATTTCAATGTACGACGCACCATGGATTGGATTGGGGTGGGGTGCTCCAAACTACAGATGCACCATGTGGTGCAATTGTCCTCTAGCCAGGCTCTGTTAACCGACACGGTATTTTTTGTCATGACCATGTTTACCCAAGAAAAATAAATTATTAAAAAATTATATATATATATATATATATATTTAATAACTTTCTAAACACTTTTTACTAATGAGTAATATTTTTTATTTATTTTTCAAATATTTTTTTTTTTACCATATTCCCATGCAAACTAGTATCCGGCTCGTTAAAATTTGCATTTTTTGTTTGTGTATCTGTGGAGACGTTTTGGTCTTTTTTTTAAACATATTTTCAACGGTCTCTCAAAAAAAGCAAACAAAACAGAACATAAACAATGAAGTTAAATTGTTTATTTTGATTATCTCTCTTCTTTGCAATAATGAATGTTTCACATTTTGCTTATTATAACATGACTGATGGGTTCATTCAATCAAATGCAAGAATGTCATTTGAGATGGTAATATTATTGAATTTTATTTTTTTTATTGCTTCTCACTAATTATTTGTTAATGTGTCATTTTAATGTCTGTTCGGCTACTGACGATGATGATTCGATTGTTGTTTTCAGGAGGAACATTTGCGCTGTATTCGTTGATATGCAGATATGCGAAGGTGGGTTTAATTCCAAGTCAAGAGTTGGAAGATAGGGATGTTTCGAATTTTCAATTGGAGTTGCCAAACAATCGACTGCGACGAGCATCGAGGCTCAAGTCCATGCTAGAGAATAGCCGATTTGCAAAGTTCTTTCTATTGTTTGCAACAATGCTTGGCACTTCTATGGTCATTGGTGATGGTGTACTCACTCCTTGCATCTCAGGTTCATTTTTCTTTCAGTTATTATTATTGTTTTAAATATTCAAAAAGAAAAAAGGGAGAGACAAATTTCACTTGTAGTTCTTGTTGCTTGTCTCGTGGGTTAATTGGTGTTTTTAAGTAATACTTTTAACTACATCAATTCTATCTTTAAACTTTTTCATTTAGTGTTGATTTCGTTTGATTGAAAACACCCATTAGACCAAGAGAAAATAGCATAAACTGCATTAGTAGCATTATTGCATTCATCTTGAATGGGACACCATCAAAATGAATTTTAAACAACTTTTATGTCAAAAGATTTATGCTTTTCATTTATAATGAGTTGTTGTTTGGCAAGTGGGTAGGGTTTGAATTAGAACTAAAAAATGTATAAAAAGATAAAATAATATGTTAAATAAGTCAATAAAATAAAATATCACAATAAAATCATAATTATTTTACTTTTTCTTTCACAAAAAAATCAAAAAAAAAAAATCAAAAAGTTCCTTCCAAACAGAACTAATTTAGCCAAGTTAAATTAATTAAAAAACTAAAAGATCATGCTAAAAAAAAATTTCCAAACGAACCCAACTTTCATAATTTTCACCATTTTCAATTAACTCTAACTCTGTCACGTTACATTCATAATGGAGCTCCTATTTTTACAAAAAGCTACTTTTAGAAATCGTATTTATTATGAAATTATCATTGAGTATAATTGATCAAAATTAATTACACAAATATGAAGGTGCAATATCCTCTAGAGTTTTTTTTTTTTAAAATTTCTTAGAGTGGTGCATTTTGTGATTAAGATTTAATGACAAGTCACATCAATTTTTCAGCATTAAATCTCAACCACATAATACACCACTTTAAGAAACTTTAAGAAAAAAATACTTTAAAAAATCGTTAGTGATTCTCATTGGGCAAGAAACTCACAAGAAAAGTTGCAATCCCTATAGTTACTCTTGATCTATTACTTCGTATTTATTATGTATGGCAAAATTGTAAGAATCAAACGTACAACAAGAAGTTGGGCACAAAGTGATGCAAGAGTCGAGACCTGTCCCGTTAATTTAAGTGTTGCATCCAAAATTTTTTTGGATTGTAGCTGGAGAAGTGGGTCTCTGCCCTCTTTTTTTTTCTGTATACAAAGCATGACTTTTGACTTACAGATCCTGTATATAAATATATATATATAAATATATATATATATATATATATATATATATATATTAATAAAATAATATATTGCTCCAATTTGTCGGCAGTTTTATCGGCTGTGGGTGGAATCAAGGAAGCTACATCCTCCGTGACGGAAGGTAACCTACGTGCTCGACTTAAATAAGTGTATTTTTTATCTTTTTATGAAAAGATGTGTAAAAAAATAGAGAAGTGATGTGATAAAAAAAAGATAAAAAGATGGATTATTTTGTAGGTAACCAAACTTGGTCTTATTTTAAGAAGATGATTAAAAGTTAATTTTTTATGATTTTTTTAAAATAATATATAAAAAATATGAGAGATAAAGTAAAACTTAAAATAAGTTGGAAAATTGATTTTTGACTTTAACTGAATTCTTAAAAATGGCCCAAGCACTGGCATCTCCCTTTCTCCAAGTGAATTATTGAAGTTCAGTACAATAATAACAATGTCATAAACACAGAAACACTACACACAACTGGCACAGAAAATTAGATAAATTTTTATAAAATTTTGTTAGTATAACTCAATTGTTTAAAAATCTTATCAATTTATTTATTTTTAATAGATTATTCATAGATTTATTATTACAACAATGAGGATACTATTGTACATTTATAATTGTGTTATCTGGTGTAACTTAATAATTTAAAAATAGAAATCAAAATCATCCATCTCTCACTTTTTGATAATCTATTTTTTTATTCTAATTTAATTAAGTCATTTATATTTAATAAATTGTAAACATGTACTAAATAGTTTAGTACTAACTTTTTCGAATTAAAATTTTTAAAAATTGTATCAAACAATCCAATATAAAGATACATTGAATTTGTTATATATAACAAAAGAATCTTTTTAGGTTGGATTTTTTTTATTTGATCACGTTTTAGGTTGGATTTTGTCTTTTATCTTGTTTGGTCATTTGGAGTTGGTGAAGGACACCGTAGATGTAGATATTAGGCCGTGGCTTTATCTCTCTCTGGTCCCACGTAATAATGTAAGCCCAACTTAGGGTCAATTGGATTATTGGGTCAGTTGTTGGCCCAAATAAATTTCATTGGGCCATGAAATTGCAATAGCCCGTTTAAATTGGGACTAGTTGGGCCTTAATAATACAACAGCCCAAATCAATTTAGGAATCTTCAATGCAGTCCATTTGTCAGGCAGATGTGATGAAATGAAATAAACTGAAATAAACGAACCTCCAAATAGCACAGTGAAAATTTCAAATTAAGTAATCTGTTTTATTAATTTCAAAAAAGTTTCAATATTATTTATTAATTTTTTCTGTATATGAATTACAGGAATGATTGTTTGGATATCAGTCGCGATCTTAATCTGCATATTCGTAGCTCAAAGATTTGGAACAGACAAAGTGGGATACACATTCGCTCCAATAATTTGTGTTTGGTTCTTATTTATTGCAACAATTGGAGTCTACAACTTCTTCAAGTTCGATCCAACAGTAATCAAAGCTCTAAATCCACAGTACATCGTCGAGTATTTCAAGAGGAACAAAAAAGATGCTTGGATTTCCCTTGGTGGAATTGTTCTTTCCATAACAGGTTCCAAATTAATTCTTTTCCATCATTTCATTTTAAAATAATATCTGTAAAAATAAAAATGACAGTTTTTGATTTCTCTTTTTGTGTAATTCAGGAACTGAAGCGTTGTTTGCGGATGTTGGACATTTCACAGTTCGGTCAATACAGATTAGTATGTGCACTGTGACATATCCAGCACTGATATTAGCCTATTCAGGACAAGCTTCTTTCCTTAGGAAGCACAATGAGTTTGTTTCAGATACCTTCTTCAAGTCCATACCAGGTGACCAATCTATGTACTAATTATAATTTTTTCATTTTAATATAAAGAAAAGCATTTCGACGAAATGTTTATGTAGAAAATGTTTTCTTGTATTGGGTTGCAACCCTGAAACTGATGTGCTAGTGAGTAGTGGTGGCAGTGGCCAAAAAACAATTTGTACCTTTTAAATGTAAAAATTATTTTCACCCTACTTTTTGTTTACTGTCAAAACATTTTTTCTTTCTGTTGTACCAAGCTTTAAAAAAAATACTAAGCATTGGATTTTTTACGGCAAAAAAAAAGTTCTGTGTGTCAACTGAAATAGGGAATGAATTGCAATGCAGGTGCACTGTATTGGCCAATGTTTGGGGTGGCAATGATGGCAGCAATAATAGCAAGTCAAGCCATGATTTCTGGGACTTTCTCTATCATCCAACAATCTCTTTCACTAGGCTGCTTCCCTCGTGTTAAAGTTGTGCATACATCTTCGAAGTATGAAGGACAAGTCTACATCCCCGAAATCAATTATCTTCTCATGCTTGCCTGTGTTGCTGTCACCATTGGTTTCAGAACCACTGAGAAGATCGGTCATGCATACGGTAGGTAACATAACTTTCCTCCACATTCCTTCCCAATCAATTCGAATTCATGATCTTCTAGCTAGGTGACACAGACACTTTAAAGTGGGTCTCGTATTTTTAATTATTCAATGCTATACATTATGTAGAGTGTTAATTTTTAAAAATTTTATTTTTTTACAAGATATGTTAGAGATGAGAAATTATCTAATAGGCTGAACTTGCCACAAGGATGTGTGCCCATCCAATAATAAGTGGTATAATTATTTTGTCTAAAACATAAGAGAAAAAATAGTTACACACCTCTCTACAATTTGAAGGACACAATACTTATGACATAGGTCAAACCTATTAGAAAATTTCACAATGACAACATTTTACAAACTTTCTTGTCCTGTGTTTGGACATATCTCAAAACACCTTTTTGAGTTTTTTTTTTTTTTTTTTAATAGCTTTAGAAAATTAATTTATTGTCAAAGTAAAATATATAGAAAAAAGGAGAAAATTAAAAATAAACCTAATCATACATATATAGTAAAAGTTGTCATATTCCCCGTGTTTGTAGTCTTAATTTTTTTTAAATCGCTGCATCCCAAGTTGGTACCCATACCTGTGTTTGTTTCTAAAATGGATATAATGGGCTTTTTTAAGAAGATTAATTTTCCAGTTTTTTTTTTTTTTGTTTGTTGCTTACAGGGATCGCCGTGGTGTTTGTGATGACACTCACATCTTCATTCCTAGTACTAATCATGATCATGATATGGAAAACTCACATTCTACTCATAATCTCCTATGTTCTTGTCATTGGCACTGTTGAGATTCTCTATCTAAGTTCAGTCCTCTACAAATTTGATCAAGGAGGTTATCTCCCCATGGCCTTTGCTCTAGTTCTAATGGCTATAATGTACATTTGGAACGATGTATACCGAAAAAAGTACTACTACGAGCTTGATCACAAGATCTCCCCTGAAAAGCTAAAAGAAATCGCTGTTGACACGAATTTCTGTCGAATCCCAGGCCTCGCTGTCTTCTACTCCGAGCTCGTTCATGGTATTCCACCCATCTTCAAACACTACATGGCGAACGTGCCTGCCCTTCACTCGGTCCTTGTTTTTGTCTCTTTTAAATCCCTACCCATAAGCAAGGTCCCAGCGGAGGAGCGGTTTCTGTTTCGCAGAGTTCAACCAAATGACCTAAACGTGTTTCGTTGCGTGATGAGATATGGATACACAGACGTGCGACATGAGCCTGAGCCCTTTGAGAGAATGTTGGTGGAGAGGCTAAAACAGTTCGTAAGAGAGGATCATGTGTTTGCTGCAATGGTTCGAGATGGTAATCAAGAATCTACTGATGATGATGATGATGAAAATGCGAACAATGTCAACAATGCAAAGAAAGCTGAGAACAACGAGAAAGTAGCGGAAGCGATGGAGAGGGAAATCGAAGTGCTTGAAAAAGCGTGGCGATCGGGGATTGTGCATTTGGTGGGGGAGAATGAGGTGATTGCAGGGAAAGGAGCCGGGATAGGGAAGAGGGTGTTGATAAATTATGCATACAGTTTCTTGAGGAGGAATTTGAGACAGACCGATAAAGTGTTTGATATTCCTCACAAGCGTTTGCTAAAGGTTGGAATGACATATGAGCTTTAGAACATCGATCCATGAAGTTTGTTTATTGAGATCTAAGAATAATTGTGGTAATTAGGAGTTAATAATTACACTTACTTTGATCTTGTTTAGTGCTTAGGTTTGTTTGTGTTGGATAAAATCAGCACACCCAATGTAGTCTGATTGTAGAAAGAATTGCAAGTATATATGAAGCATAAATATCGGTAAATCTTGTGCATTTTGCTCACCTTGTCGCGTGTATGTTTATTATTTTGGATCTTATTGTTATTACATTGTGGATAAGAGAGAATTTGGTAAAAAATTAGACTACATGTAGTATTACTCTAAACAATTAAGTTTATTTTTTTTCGATTCAAAAAGTTTATTGATAAGTTAGTATGTACACTGAGATTAAAAGTAAATAATATAAAAAAATAAAATTAAAAAAAGCTTAGAAATTTTGTGGTAGTAAATGTGAAATTTTGTAGATTTTAAAAAATTTTAATTGTTTCTGTACACGGTAAAATTTTACAATTTTTGTGTAGAGATTGTAAAATTTCACAAATTTTCAAACACAAAAGTTAGAAACTGAGAAAATTTGTTTTTTACACAACTTTAAATCTAATATTTCTTGTTTGGTAGATCTCAAAAAATAGTTTCAAACAATATAAATTTTATAAATTTAAAATAAAAAAAACAAAAAAAAACAGATGCATTCGATGAGATATTGACATTTTTAGCTTGAAATAAAAAAATAACTAACTTGACATCTCAGTAACGCCATCAACATGAGTGACATTATTAAATGTATAATTTAAGTATCAATGAGCATGTAACTTAAGGGTGCGTGTAACTATCAGTTTGAATATTTACTAAAATTTTAAAACAAGGCTTGACCTACTAAATAACAAAATTAACGAAATATCCTGGGTTAATTATAAAACCTATCCATAGGACTTGTCACTAAATATTTCCAAAAAAATAAAAAATAAAAAATAAAAAATAATAATGTGGAAAACAAAGAAGAAAGAGATGTAAAAATATAAACAACTAATGAAACAAAGGGGAATAAACAAGAATAAAAGGGATCTATTGAAGATCCTTCTCCTTCCCTAATGTGCATTGCTAGCAAACTACTAGTAGTTCCAGCTAAAGCATACCATAATATGCCAAATTAATTATAAACATAAATGATTGAACATTTATATGATTGATCAAAACCAATTGTTAAATGAGCTTTTTAAACCTTGCTCTTATAAGATAAGTAAATAACATTCTTTCAACAATTCTATATTTCCAAAGTACATACAATTAACTAAAGATCATTTGTTTTTAAATCTCTCTACTTTTCATTTAAAAATCTTGAGATATAAGAATGTTGAGACATGATCTAACAACTGTAAGTATTTTGTGACAGGAGACATAAAGATTTAGGACAAAGAATCTCATGTTATAAATAGTTAGTCTGATGATTTCTAGATTTTCATATTGTCTATTCTCTTATCTAGATCAATCTCTTTCATATTGTCTATTCTCTTATCTAGATTTTCTAGCTGTGGTTGCCTTTCTTATTCCTGTTTTTTTTGTTTTTGTTTTTGTTTGTTGGTTTCTCACCAACTGGTGCTTGGAACTTCTGGTAGCTCCAAGCTCCTCTTTATTGATGTTCTGTATCTTTTTTTTGTTACTTTCATCAATAAAGATTTTCTTTGCTGATCAAAAAAAAAAAAAAAAAAAAACCTCTCTCCCTCACCCTCCTTTCAGGCAGATTTTGATCCTCTCTATTTTATAAATGAAATGAAATTTCATTTAATAAGGTTGCAACATGTCATCAAAATACAAAATCAACTTACTATAAAAACCATGTCACAAATATGTTTTATGGTTTTCCTTAATTATTTTTAATTTGAAATCAAAATTTGTGATGTTCTTTCATCATAAGTACAAGTTTGATATGTGAGATTGTTAAATAAGACCTTAATATTCAAGAAATTCTACAAATCTTGATATCTTCTCATTCCTTGTGTCTATCTGATAAAAATTCATTTACACAAGATTTTGAATGACCTAGACATTTGAGTCATCATCACTTGTGGGAAGTCGATCCAATTCATTTGAATATAGAGAAAATGTCAGCGTGATGGGGACTTGCTGGGTTTTTTCATTACAAACCAAATTTAAGAATTTTTGAAGCAACTAGAAGACTGTGGTCCCAGCATCTAGGGTTTCAAAAGAAAACCCCCTATCCCTGAGACTATTCAATAGGACTCTCCTATTCCAAAACATTTACTTCGATGCTTAAATTAACTTTCTTGTTTAACAAGTACACTTAAAGCTTGGTTTCCTCAAAAATAAAACATAAAAACTTGGTTTGCAATTCTTTCTAGGTTTGCAAGATGCTTAAGCTAGGGTACTGAGTTTTAGAAAGAGCTAAGTGGACACACACACATATGCAGAAGTGAGAGAGAGGGTTTGTTGATCTGAAATGCAACTGCTAGAGAATAATAGTAGATCATGCATAAGAAATATTATTCATTCATCATTTAGACTACATGATCAACCACACAACAAACTCAGAAAACAATTGATAGAAAACATATCAGATCTAAATCGATAAATGTTGAATTCTCATCCTCAAAAAACGGTGAAAACCCTAATCAAATCTTAATACAGCATTTTGAACAAATACACATTAAAGTTTAGGGTGTTCTTGTCAAATAGAACAAAGAGGCCTTACATTTTTGTCTGATGACGACCAAAGCTTGAGGTGATCAATTATTCCCTTCATCATAAGCAGCCCACTTGAATTCAGATCAAGATCAAAGAGAAATACATATTAGCAAGTAGTATTTTCTGTTGTCGGTAAATATTAATTAGGAAGATACAATAAGCTCGTATGAAACCCTAAATTGCATATTTATTGCAAAAAACAGATGAAAATACATCCATTACTTGTCTTACCATACAAAACTACCTTTAACAAACCTAATAATCTGATAAGCACAAGCATTAATTCGCTTTGAAGTCTAAAATCCCCAAAGCTACTTACAGTCAATCAAAGAACAAACCAAGATTTCATAGAGCAAACAAGTGAAAACACCACTCAATTCCACCCCGCCCCCAAATATCATAGGCATCATAGACGGTTGAAATTACAATCTAATCCTCATAAACCTAAAATCTCCTGGAGAAAGATGAGTTTTTACTTTCATCCATCACATTGAACCTAAATGGAGTAGGGGAAGCAGTAGATTTCCTAGTAGACTCACCTCTATCATAGTTTGGCGGTTCATCTTTTTCTTCATTGTTGATACCCTTGTTTTGGTTACCTCTCTCTCCTTCTAACTCCCTATATCTATTCAAGTACCTTTTTAATGGCTTAGCATAGTCGTCAAACCCTAGACTCCCGAGAGCCCAACAGATGTCGTCCCCGTTCACGGTCTTTCTCTTCTCTTTGTGACACTTGTCGGACGCTTCTCCAGTAACAAAACTAATGAACTCAGATGCACATTCTTGCATGGTTTCTTTAGCTTCTTTGGATATTTTAGCATGAGGGGGCAAGAGCTGCTTCATGATCCGACCCACATTTGCTATCGGCAACAAGCGATCTTGCTCCTTAATGACACCATCTTCCTCACCGGAGGCACCACCACTACTAGCACCTGCAAAATTGTACTCAAAGCATTCTCTGTCAACCATTTCTATAAAGAGAAACTTATATTGATACTATCTAAAGTTCAAACACTGACACATGGCTCTCTTGGTCACTAACCCTCCTCTATATAGACACATACATATGCTATGCACATGTATGCATGTGAGAGAGTAAAGGGTCCATTGACATAATGTGGCATTGTGGCAGGGAATTTTTCATTGATAGTTGTATGAGTTAGGTTACTTTCTTATGTAATCAAAAATGCTTAAAGAGTTTGTGGGCACAATCTAAAACCTTAAAAATATTTAAGAAAAAGACTTGCATTCAATTATAGACCATATGGTCCCCCCAATTTGATCATTAATCTTTAATGCTCTCGATAAGTTTGGACTAATTTTGCACTTAAAATAATGTTGGAAATTTTGAATTTGTGGACTACACGAGTGCACGTATTCCCATGGCACAAATGCCAGCATACCAAACAAAAACCTAAAGAAGAACCCATTAAAAACTAATTACTGGGAACCCCAGTGTTGGATTTACCAACTGAGTTTTATCATGAGATTAGGTCACTCACTCTAGTCAATGGAAAACAAAACAAAACAAGAAATACTTTAAATTAAAATTTGTGAGCTCGTGGTCTAGTCCGGAAACTCTGGAGACCTACTTCTCTAGTAACCATTATCTAAGTCATCATACTAATGTTGACATATGGTAGCTTGAAATGGTATCTACTTGACTTGGCCATTGTGAACAAAGGACAACAATTATTGGAGCAAATTAAATAAGACGTCACAATTGTGATTGTGCTTAATATACCATCCTGGCACTTAACATCTTGAAAATGACTCGCATCATTCATTTAGGTAGACAGCAAAGCATTGGCTCAAATCTTTGCTTATGTAACCCAACCATAATCAGATGCTCATACTTTCAAATAAAAAACCATGATCGAATATTCGAAAGAAATACAAGAAAGATGAAAAAGAGGTTGAGAAATTGTTCAACGGACCACAATTAACTGTGCTCATATTATTTGTTTTCAAATTAGCTTTTTTGTTTTCAAAAAAAAAAAATTTGTGAGGTCAAGGGGTTGGTTGTATGAATGCGAGTAGCAGTAGTAGGGGTATTTTTATATTTCCGAATCTCTCTCAAAGCATGTCGTCTTCCTGTACCTTTAATTTCATGCTGTTAATGAAATTTTTCTTTACCGATCAAAAAAAAAAACTGTGCTCATATTATTTTGTATTAATATGAACCACTGCCTATTTAAATCTCAAATGAACAAAAACTCATTATCCCAAAAATTCAGAATGTGATATTCAATCTTTTTGCAAGTGCCTCAACAATAATCAATACTACATACTGCATGATTTTAATATTTCACATAAAAAACAGATCAAAAAAATTCCAACTACATGATTTAGGTAAGGAAAGTTTGACCATTGAGAAGAATGAAAGTGGAATTATGTGAATTATATTTTGTGAGAAAAATGTATACAGATAACTAACTGTTCATATATTCCCAACTTCCTCACTGCAATAAATATTGTTAAGGAATATATCCATCCATAATTTTATAGTGACATTATCTTGATGAATGTTCCAAGATTATCGCTAATCGGGAAAGGTCGCTACCCAATCCGCGAATCATCTTAAACCAAATTGTACTTTCTCCTTTGAAAATCACTGTTTGGGGAACATGGTTTGTGGTCCATATGCTAACTAATACAACTTTACTCTAAATATCAAGCCTAACCACAAAAGTAGAAGAAAAAACAATAGAAAAGATACTTACAGGTCTCACAACCTTGCTTTCAAACCTGTAATTTGTTTAAAGTAATTTGTTTATATGCATTCTCATAACCCTTGTTAGTTTGCAAAATCATCATGTAACCAGCTAGAAACAACTTATTGATTGAGCTCAGTTTTATCATTTTCTCCAAGGTGTAATCGCTGCAGCTACTACAACGTATAAGAGTTTTAAATATCGAATATTTTGATATTTAAAAATGAATTTTGTTGCAAAAGACATTAAGGACCAATTTCATCATCGTAAGGATAGTCGCTAAAAGGTCGTTCCGAAAAGTCAAAAAAAGACTTTTAGCAACAAAATTTTAAAAATGTCACTAATAAATAGACTTTTAAGGACAACATAATTTGATATTTATTTTTTTAGACAAAAAATTTGGTCCCAAATAAATAATAATTCATCACTAATGTTCAATTTTTGTTACTAAAAATATATAATAACAACATTTTTTGTAACAAAAATATTTAGTTCCTAAAAAATAATTTTATCCCTAAATTTTGGTTCCCAAAATCTTAATTTTTTTTGTAGTCAACCTCCAATAAAATCATTGTGGTTAGGGCTATTAGTGATTTTGTTTTTAGTAGTGATATATCTCGTAAAAAAGAGCTCTATACACTTGGTAATGAAAAAATAAAATAAATAAATAAATAACAACCATGACACAAATATCATCATCACCGTGGGCCCACACCATTAGAGCTCCTTTATAGCTATATTATTAGAGTTCCCAAATATTGTTCTTTTGTTTTGCAATGACATATTGTGACAGAATACGGATCATCCAGCTCACTTTGTGTCTCATCTTCTATTTCATAAATCTCATATCGTCATGTTACCAAAATCAATAATTAAAAAATATAAAACAAAAAATAGTACAGTGGGATAAATGATCTCATCTGCCATTGTGGTATGGAAATGATTGGAAATTTCACAATTAATGCATTAAATAGATATGCACAAGCAAGTGGATATTTTCCTCTAGGAGTTTCTGAAAGGCTTTTGAGGACCTTAAGAAAATCTTTACATTCTGTTTTATTTTTTCTCTTCTTTAGAGGCCACCTTCCACTTTTGTTGAGATTCCCCCACACTACCATTGCTTTAGTGGGCATCACATCTGATCTCTGGCATAAATATTTTCAATTCATAGTTTGGTAAAGTAGGTTTAATTTGGACCAATGCTAAGAAGTCTAAATGCTACGAATAAGAACTAGACATTTAAGCCCATTGTTTTTCTTTGTTTATATTTTTCTTTTTACTCCTTATAGTATGCTGAGTACATTAAAAAAAAAATTGAATTTTCTCCAATCACTAATGCAGTGTTTGGTTGAAAGATTTAGGGAGGAATTTAGAAAGGGAAATGAAAGAAGTAGGTAAAATGTAAATAAAACATGCCTATATTTCACCTAGTTTCACACACCTTTTTCCTTTCCCTTTTCAAATCCCTCTCCAAATCCCCTAACCAAACACAGCATAAATGGTTCAATCCGAGTGAAGAGGTGGATCCCACAAAGTGATCTATCCCTTCTCTCACTAATCACTACGACAAGAAACTTTGCTCAATTGTAAAATAGTAGTACATGAAATGAACATCAAATACTAACAACCTTAATTAAATCTTGTTGTAATATTAAAATCTTGGAATTAAGTCATATCTTCATCTAAAATTAGGGGCACTCTAGGAGAGGGAAGGGTCCAAGTTGTAGCCTGCAGCCCATTCCTGTAGCATAAAGCTCACATGTTTACAATACATGTATCAGTTAAGTCTGGAAGACACCAATGAGTTGAACACAAAATGCCCTTAGTTTACAGCTCATCCAATAATTCGCTCCCTTAACCGCTGTGGAAGTAGCCCAGCAGGGGTTTGTTTCCTTAGCAAAGCAGCATTCAATAAACCTCAACTCAGAATAAATCTCAACTCTAATTTCTTGGATCCACTGATACCATTTCATAAAACTTCAACAGGGGAAATAAAGGCGCAACAAAAATTTTATGAATGTTTCTCGTTTGCATGAATTTGTTTACAAATTTCAGTCAATCATACCCATACACACTCATTTAGCACAACCTTGTGCCCTCCATGCCTAAAGTGGACAGCAACCAAAAATCATCACCAGCCTTACAAACAATAATATCAAACCTGTCAAAAGATTTCTTTTTGTAATTTTTCCGGATAAAGATCCAGCCAGATTTAGGAGACCACATAGTTACGTCTCTCGATGAGGGTGCCACTTCTATACACGGGAATGAAACAGTACCTGCAAATCAAAGCCAGACAAAGCTTATGTAATATATGTGAGATGGTATGATCAGAGCCTCTAATGCTGTAAAGGACTCATAAGATCAACAACAATTCCAGACTCGCCTTTTTTCATAAAATTATGTGAAGCTATGAACCAAGTCAAACAGATATCTAAAAGTTGCAAACGAATCCTTTTAACTAACCAGCATGCCATTTTGGACTAGTTCTACTTCACATATTTTAACAGATCAGCCAAACCAACTACCAAACTCATAAAAACCTTCTAACATATCGTAGGAGTTCAAACTTAACGTTTGGATGATAAAGGTTTTATCAACTGTTAGGTTTCAGAGCTTCACTTGAGTAAGTCTTCAATACGCTTTGTTTATCTACTACTTAGGTTTATGATTAATATACCAACCATGGTTGACTTCCCTCACTGATGTAAGTTTGTGGATGTAGCATTGAAATTCCATACAAGAAATGCTACGAGAAATAAATCTACAAACCAACCAATGGTAAGTACAAACACATTTGAGAGTAGAAAATGATATAAAAAAGAAATCAATTTGACTAGGAAGCTTTTCATAAAATACGCAGGGAGTTAGTCAACTTATATGCCCTGGAGAAACAAACAGTCTTAGCTGGTATGAGAAATTTTAATAGCCACAATACATTTGAAAGAGAAGCAACAATAATAAATGTTGTGTTTTGTCAGCTTATATAATTTTTATTCTTGGGGATAAGAGCGTTTACATAGAAGCCAACCGGTGCACAGCCAATCCTGATGTCTTTGGACAAAAGGAACAACTTGTGGGAAAGGCTAAAATAAAGACTGATGGTTAAGCAAGGGTGAGACACACGGTTTTGGCTCAAATGACAGTATACATAATAGGGGGTGGGGGTGGGGAGTAGGGAATTTCTTCTTTCATTTTGTGAGGTTTTTCTTCTGAACTTTGGAAACCAACATGCTTGATGGAGAGAGAAAACATGTCATTTCAAAGCGAGAATGTTAGTTATAGTCTCTTAACAATTGAGAGCTAAAAAGGTTCCGATAGGGACATCCTAGGTAACCTTAACACACTCCCTAAACTTAAAAGGCTGAAATTTGAGCCATGTGGCTTCACTATCCAAAAGGGGTGGGGGAATCCCCTAGCATCCTGAAGTTGAGAACATCAACTACAAAAACGCAACTATTGGAGGTAGATTTGTCCACTATGGAAAACAAGAAAAAGCTTCTTGAGAGAATCGCTGATCTTAAACTTGCTCAAGAGGTTAGCCTTTCTATCAAGTTATAAGACTCCTATGAAATCGTAAGCATGTCCGTTGATTGTTGCTTGGCCTAGCTTTTGGATTCTCCTTGTATGTTAATCTACTTGTTAGATTTTTGTGTAGAAGATAGGCATGTTTTTTCCCTCCTCAAAGGGTGTGTTGCCTCTGGACATGTAATGAGTCTCACTGTAATATCTATTTTTTGGTATAAAACTTATGACTAACATACTCAAAAAAATAAATAAATAAAGATTTGTCCACCGTGACATACTAGATTGGTAAGATAGAAATTTAGTTATCAGTTTGGTAAAATACACTAGTCTTTTTCTTTCTTTTTTTTTATTTATTTATTATTTTTTTTTTTGGGGGGGGGAGTAAACCACTAAAAATGAATAATATATTAATCAAGTCAAGAAACCAACAAAATTATCTTATGTGTATAAGAACTTTTACCTAATTTTATAAATTTAATATTAATTAATTAATTTTACTACATTAATGTACAAGAAAACATAATTTATCTTATATTTTCAATATAATATCATTACAATAATAATTACATCACTCAATCTTATAATATTCATAATTCTATCAAACTTAATTTATCAAATAAATAGCATGCATATGTAAGTATGTATACAATATGCGAACATATCCTGTTTTTCAAATATTGACTGTGGCTTCATGTCTTGTCTGTGGTTAATTATCATATTCCTTCTCAGAATTCGATCATTCTCCTCCGTCACATTGAAATTCATTCATTCCTGCAACATTAATTTTAAAGAATGGCCAGTAAGGCAGCCAAGTTTTGTGGCACTGAACAATGGTAGATAGGAATCATGTCATAACATGAGCTTATAACTACAGTGATAATACAAAAATGGATAGCAGGAAGATGTATTAACTGAGGGTGGGGAAATGCAGATTGAAAATGATGAACACAGCCTCACAATCTGAAATTTATCATGTGAAGGTAAATATGAAAACCTTTTTTCTCCGCATTTCTACAGCAGCCTATTTGTCAACCCTTGTGATATATTAATAACAAAAAAGTAAAGCAGAAAACAATTTCCAAAGTATAAGGGCTATGAACAGGAGCTCAAGTACCATCTATTCAATCATGACTTAATCATAATCTGTGAGGGCCAACAAAGAGAAGTGACCTGTCATCTACTCAATTATGATATAGGGTTTTAAGGAAACTTGATCACACATAAATCCAGCACCAATTCTCACTTTTTCCATTATCATGAATTCAAAGCATCTTTCTTCTCAAGTATATGTGAGATATTCTTTCCATCTTAAACTTTATATGAGAACACACTCTCATGCCTAATTTTGGATCACATATTAATGCTCTAACCCAATCAAGTTAATCATTGTTCATGGACAAACAAATTTTATTTAGAGAAATTACAATACAGTGGGAAATGGGGAAAGTATTTACCAATAGGATTGGGATGCAACTTTTGTAGTGGTTTTGTTGCACAGAAAAAGTTGCTCCGCCCATGTGTTCGTAATTATTTGTGATCTTCTACACTGATTTGTAATTTCCCCTTTTATTTACTACAAATGACTACACAATACCTTCGATCACTTAAGTTGCAAATTATGGAATAGCTGGGAGTAACCAGACAATGCATTTTTGGGGTACACAGAAAGGTAAGCCACAAATTATCAGCAAATAAACATCCTCATATGACCTTTTATTTTGTATAAGTTCTCTTCTCACACAGTGTCAATAATCTATGTAAATAACAATGCACTGACATGTGATGAGCCACTCCTTATTTGAATTGCTCACTCCGAAGAATGTTTTTCCTAAAAAAAATAATGTCACAGCAAAAAACCAGTGGTATGAATGTAAGCATACTATGAGATAAGTCGCTCCCTGGCTAGCTCTGAGATTTTGTTTTACTTACAAAAATATTGCAATCTGATCAGCTTTGAAGAAAATTGCGGTTCTGGAATAAGTAAAAGAGCATTGCAAGGAAGACAGAAAATTACTCATAGTTAAGCAAGTTATATTTGTAGACTGTAAGACACTTTAGAAATCAAAACTGGCATAAATACTTAATTCATTTTAATAAAAGAACTGACCACACAGGCTACGACACTTAATTCTTGTTAGTCAACACATCACCACCCTCTCTGCATTGCCAGATTGGCAAGTCATAGAGAGACAATAGACAACCACTCCACAAATTATACCAATGAGACTATACTTCCAAAATTATATCACATATTCAGACTAATCTACCCCGGGTCTTAAAACATAGGAATCCTTATCTTCTATAACCTTCCACCATTTAGAACAAGGCAACCTTCGTTTACCCCATTATGACATGTGTTTGCTAATAGATACATCGCCAAATGCCTTCGATACAAGTGTCATAATAATAAAAGTAATAATACAATGAAAAGAGTTGTTCAGATAGTTTAGTAGCTACCTTGCTTGAGCAACAATGAAGGTCTTGCTAAAAAACAAGAGTAATAATTACTATGTTTCACATAAAAATCATACATGCATATGTAAGTATGTATACAATATGCGAACATATCCTGTTTTTCAAATATTGACTGTGGCTTCATGTCTTGTCTGTGGTTAATTATCATATTCCTTCTCAGAATTCGATCATTCTCCTCCGTCACATTGAAATTCATTCATTCCTGCAACATTAATTTTAAAGAATGGCCAGTAAGGCAGCCAAGTTTTGTGGCACTGAACAATGGTAGATAGGAATCATGTCATAACATGAGCTTATAACTACAGTGATAATACAAAAATGGATAGCAGGAAGATGTATTAACTGAGGGTGGGGAAATGCAGATTGAAAATGATGAACACAGCCTCACAATCTGAAATTTATCATGTGAAGGTAAATATGAAAACCTTTTTTCTCCGCATTTCTACAGCAGCCTATTTGTCAACCCTTGTGATATATCAATAACAAAAAAGTAAAGCAGAAAACAATTTCCAAAGTATAAGGGCTATGAACAGAAGCTCAACTACCATCTATTCAATCATGACTTAATCATAATCTGTGAGGGCCAACAAAGAGAAGTGACCTGTCATCTACTCAATTATGATATAGGGTTCTAAGGAAACTTGATCACATGTAAATCTAGCACCAATTCTCACTTTTTCCATTATCATGAATTCAAAGCATCTTTCTTCTCAAGTATATGTGAGATATTCTTTCCATCTTAAACTTTATATGAGAACACACTCTCATACCTAATTTTGGATCACATATTAATGCTCTAACCCAATCAAGTTAATCATTGTTCATGGACAAACAAATTTTATTTAGAGAAATTACAATACAGTGGGAAATGGGGAAAATATTTACCAATAGGTTTGGGATGCAACTTTTGTTGTGGTTTTGTTGCACAGAAAAAGTTGCTCCGCCCATGTGTTCGTAATTATTTGTGATCTTCTACACTGATTTGTAATTTCCCCTTTTATTTACTACAAATGACTACACAATACCTTCGATCACTTAAGTTGCAAATTATGGAATAGCTGGGAGTAACCAGACAATGCATTTTTGGGGTACACAGAAAGGTAAGCCACAAATTATCAGCAAATAAACATCCTCATATGACCTTTTATTTTGTACAAGTTCTCTTCTCACACAGTGTCAATAATCTATGTAAATAACAAAGCACTGGCATGTGATGAGCCACTCCTTATTTGAATTGCTCACTCCGAAGAATGTTTTTCCTAAAAAAAATAATGTCACAGCAAAAAACCAGTGGTATGAATGTAAGCATACTATGAGATAAATCGCTCCCTGGCTAGCTCTGAGATTTTGTTTTACTTATAAAAATATTGCAATCTGATCAGCTTTGAAGAAAATTGCGGTTCTGGAATAAGTAAAAGAGCATTGCAAGGGAGACAGAAAATTACTCATAGTTAAGCAAGTTATACTTGTAAACTGTATGACACTTTAGAAATCAAAACTAGCATAAATACTTAATTCATTTTAATAAAAGAACTGACCACACAGGCTACGACACTTAATTCTTGTTAGTCAACACATCATATCTGTTGAGAATCTCTCTCTATCAGCTTGAGCTTTTAGATGAGTTGGTGGTCAACAATTCAACAATATGCAAGTTGCTCTCTCTGAAAACAGCATTTAAGTTTTAGTTTTATGCACTTTATAGGAAAATAGGCAAGCCTAACTTTCTCTTATCACAAGTCATTTGCCATGAATTGAAAGAAAAAA